TCTTCTGTTGTAAGGAACTCAGACCACAACAGGTCAGAATGTTTTTAACACTATGGATTTCTGTTTGAAATTTCTGGGTTTATCTTGTGAATCATCTGTAGGTGTTTGCATCTAACAATGCTAAGGTTGAGTGGTGCCCCACAGCATCTTTAAAAGAATCCTGCATCACCCTGGTTGAGAATCATTGCTCTAGTGGCCAATGTTAATATTTATATGCAATTCACAGTTCTACACTTGGATAACAGACGGGAACAATTATCTCCTTCATCTTGTCCCCTCCTCCCATGCCCCCAATTTTCTTATCAGGTAAGATGAGAGACTGCACAGTCACTTTAGACAGCGTGGGGGAGAAAAATATCTGTCTAGTACAATAGAACTGAGTCTTACCCATTCTCTTTCAGAAAAAGTCCCTGTACTTGGCTGTATTGTGTCTTGCTGTTGAAACCAGTACACCATGCTTCTGCCTGGGCTAGGAGTCCAGATATTAAACATGCCACTTCTGCCTTTATCACAAATTGTGGTGTAACCCACTGGTTAGTACCTATTCCATATGAACACTAAATACTTCTTTCTGAAAGCAGTTACTCCTTTGCCTCGAGAAAGAGAGGCCTATAATGAGGATCAGTTCCAATGCTGCTCACAACCCATGCAAGGCTGACCCCCATAAATAGGGACCTATTAAGATTGCAGTTTTATGGATTTTGTGGAAATCATGAATTCTAGCATTGCCTGTGAAATTGAGTGATATTTGCAAAATCTGTGGAAAAAATTTAATGACAATAAAATGCTGGCTCCTCAGAGGGAGAAGAGAGACTACTAGCAAAAAGGGGTGCCCAAGATGTTTGCTACCCCTGCCCCTTGGTGCTGATTGGCTGAGAGCTGCCTATCATGTGGCCACACCCCTCTCCAGCAATTGCTATGGCGTGGGGCTGCATGACAGCCCTCAGCCAATCAGCAGCAAGGGACAGGGCTGTATGACAGATCAGACCTTGCAGCCAATCAGATGTGAGGGTGGCAGCACTGGGGCCCCCCTCAGCCAATCAGAGGTATGAAGAGGCTTTGCCACGATTGATCCATGAGAATGATGGCTGCCTCCACGATCTACCTGCAAAATGGGCTGGCTGCCACCTTGGTGTGAGTTGACCCCTAACCATAAACCATAGGAGAGATTTAAACATTTGGACTCGTTTTGAACTGGTATTGAAGGCTTTGAAAGTGAAAATGAATATTTCAAACACATAATACCCATTTTCACTTTTCAGTATCCCCAGAGTTTATTTTAATTTTCCAAACCAGGGTTATTGCTGTTTGAACGTGCACTCAGGAGCAGAGCATATTGAGCTGGGTTAGAGCAGCCCTGGCTGGCAGGGGGACCCAGGATTCAGCCTGCCAGCCCAGGGCTACTCCCCATGGCTGAACATGCTGCAGAGGGACTGGCTGGGGCATGAGAGTGCTTCAGTGCCAGGCCAGCTGGTAGGCAGTCCCCACCCTGAAGCACCCTTGTGCCCCAGACAGGAAGGGCAGCATCAACACGTGCACTGCTGTAGGGTAGATTAGTTCATTCCAGCCTACTAGGGGTGCACATGTAGACATCAAGACATGTACAGCACAACTAATTAGTCTACTGTTCAGTAAGTGTCTAGTAGATGTGCCCAGTTTGATTTATTAGGCCCAATTGTAAAAGGGTCAGTACATAGTTAGGAGTCTTTGATCATATATTTTTAGAAAGGGATCAAGGCCCTGTATATATCTTCAAAGTTATTTCAAAGGGAAACACTTAAGCAATTAAGCTAACCCCGGCAGGCCCCTTCAGCTGTTAATAAATTCAGTTGAACCACCATTTTTCTAGAAGTAAAAATAAATTACTGAAATAGTTGTAAACACTAGAAGTGCTGTAGATCATACACAGTTTTACATTTGAGTTGGAATCTAGTTACCTGTGTAGTTCCCTTGTTTTTCTGTAATTCTCTCTATATTCAGTTTACCATCAGGAATAAAGACAGAATTGTGAGAGCTTGTGTACCTAGTCCTTTTCAATGCTTCCTAATTATTGGAGGTAGATGAGAACCCTGCATCAGAAGCAGTTTGTGGTAATTTTTTTTATTTGTGTATAGTCCAAATGAAAACACTAGGACTTCACACAGGCCCCGGAATTCACGCTAGCATATCAAGATGCAGAATTGTAACTGCACCCTTGTTGGAGACCGAATCTTAATTAGGTAAATGAGGGGTGTTAAACCTTTTAAGAGTCCTCCTTAGTGGAAGGTGTGGCAGCCCAGTACTCTTACTAGTTCAAACCTACAGCCCTGCTTATTTAAGTGAATATGTAATTAGTAGTGATTACAGACTTCAGTTAAAGTTAAACAACAAGACTATATTGTAATAACTAACAAGAATTAACAAAATAGTACTATATATATATGACACCTAAACGAAAGCTTACAGGAAAAGATAAATGTACAAATAAGGAATAGAGGAGAAGGACAGAAATCAATTTACCCTCTTCCCCCTTACTTCCAACAGCATTGCAAGCACAGTTAACAGCAAACTTACTTAATATAAGAACGAAGACACCCAACTTCACATTCCCAGCTCCCTCAGAAGTCTTGCCCCTTTACTTGGGTACTTGACCTCCTCAGCCAAAAGGGTAGGGGATATACAGGGGTCCTTGTTTTCTCTGATAAAATGGATCCTCAATTTTTGGGTTAAAAAAATTAACCCCAAATCCCCATGTTTCCATGATCAAAATTAGACACCATTGTGTGTGTGTATTACTAGCATTTCATTTTAATCATGGAAAAATGTAGATTTTGTGTTGTGTGCGTTTGTATTACTGGCATTTCATTTTAATCATGGAAAAATAAGGATTTTGGGTTACTTTTTTTAACCTGAAAATTAGGGATTTTTTTTTTTTAAATCAGAGAAAACCAGGATCCCTGGTGACATGTTACCCTGGCCTACTAGCAGATCCTTTGGAAAAGCCCTGGTTCCCTCTGGATCAGGCCTCAACTGAGACGTTTCCTGAGGTGCTTGGCTGTGAGCTTGAGGAACCTTTGGCATCAATTCAGAACTCATCTGCAAAAAGTCATCCCTCAGTCACTTAGTTAGCCCCACACACGTACCAAAATCACAATACACACAGAGACCTGAACCCACACAGACAGGCCCCCACCCTTACTCCTTGGGTCTAAGCTCTCTTATACCCCCAAGGTCACACCACTTTTTGAAGCCAATCACCCACTCAGAGGTCACATCAATTATTGATTCTATCCAATTATCAAGCATTCAGCTCTCACCCAATTAAATTCTCACCTCTCATATAGAGGTGACAATCACCTTTTTGGCTCCAAACAGTTATATAACCTAAATCAAACTGGGCTCAAAGAAATGAAACTAGGTCACTGTGGGTCACAAGTTTCAACTGTCCAGAACCTTCTGGCCTTATCACGTACTAAACATCCAACTGGAGGGATAGGTGGCAATGTGGTGGTGCTACTTGTGGTGGGGGAATTCCTATCAAATACTACATTATCACAATCCCTAAAGTAAGGTGAGTATAGGGTGCCTCAAAACTCTAGCCCCACACTATCTTGTGGGTACTCCTTGGTTGGAGAACAGCTAAGGGAAATCACCCAGACAGAAACATGTCCTTGCTGAGGCATGAGGCAGTCAGCAGCAGCTCTAATTTGTTGCTGTCTGGCAGAAGCTACAACCATCGAGGCACTGAATGTCTGGACTTGGTCTGGCCTTTTGACTTTGTCTTAAGGTCTAAAAGAGGGAAGGTAGGCCAAGGGCAGCCTCCATTCCTCCATACTCTTGCCTAGGTGGGCACACTGAAGGTTTTGGTGGGATGGTCACACAGACTTCTTGTGGATTGGTGGTTGCCATGAGTTTTTATGTAGTATTATTATTAAAATGTATTTTGTGTAGTATTTTTATTAAAATGTTCTTGTTTATATGCTCATGAAAGTCTCCAATCTAAATCAAAATTATATTTAATTTCTAAGTAACACACAGTACATATAATACTTGAATTCAGTGTGCATTTGGTTAGCATTTAGATTTTGAATAAGCATTCACTTCATCTGTAGCAGTTGTTGGAAGTTATCTTTTATGGCAATAGACAGTAACTTTCTTCATGATTTACAGGGCTCTGCTTTGAAGATGAGATTTCATGAACAAAAGAGCTTTGAAATTGCCAGTCTAACTCCTCCAGCACTCCAGATGTGTGACCTTGATGCATCTCATTTAAAACAAAAAAAAAACACCGTATGGCTAGCTTGTTGCTGATAAAAGATAGTTGTTCTACTGCCTTGGGGCAGTTAAGTATTTCTACCAAGAATTTCAATAATTAACCAGTTATATTAGACTGTTGAATGAATAGGCTTGAATTTCTGCAGGTTAGTAATCTGTACTTCAGGCTTTTGGAACACAGCATTCTTACATGAATAAACGTTTTTGTCTTGAAACATAGTTAAGTTATACCCATTATCAGAAAATCTTGGGTCAAAAATAAATCCATGGGAAAAGATAGCTTGGAAATAACATCCGGACTGAAAATCTAGCCCCAAATTTGCAAGAATACTAGGGATATTGTCAATCTGTGACCATAAAAGGGTCCAGTTCTTTCATCATTACTTGCTACAGGCTTGATACTCTGTCACTGAAGTCAATGGGAGCTTCGGAACTAACTCTGAGGAGGGCACATCCCTCCTGATACATAGTTCTTTAGCCCGCAAGTAGTCTGACTGAAACAAAGTGTACATATCTGCTTGCAGTGCAAAGTATTTGCACTAGGAAGAGGGGCCCACTGCACAGATATACAGTGGTAAGAAAGGCCTTCTGGATCTGCATTTCTCAATCTTTTCAGCTTGGAAACTCCTTATTCAAACTTAAGTATTCTGTCACTTCTGTAGTATAGGTAAGAGTAAAAAAGACAGAAATGATACCCCTATATAATCAAAGTATGTGCATTAGAAGGTTGACAGAGTACAGTTGTCCTTGAAGGGTACGAGTGAGCAGGGCATATGGAAATGAAATGTCCTTTGGTTTGCACTGCAGTGTTTCAACTTCTTACAACCTTCCCTTTGTTTTGGTAGCCTCCCCACCCTACTAGATCCTATCATTTGAATAAAGAATTGGGGCACTAGGGTTGGGACTTGGATTATTTGCATTCAATTCCTGGCTCAGCCACAGACTCTGATTTTGGGCAAGTATCTTAAACCAGTTTTGAAGGTATTTAGATGCCTAACTCTCACTGAAATCTGAGAGTTGTGTGCCTAACTACCTTACAAAAACTTGGTTGTTAAACTAATTTAGAGAATGGGAATACGATTTCCCTACCTTTTAGGGATTTTATTGGTTGTAATAATTGCAGTATTTTCAGAGCTCTTGGATATTGTATGCAGTGTTGGATAATGGAAACAATGAAAAACACAACAAGCAAATACTAAATTGAGCAACTCATAGAAAATTAAGAGTTTTAGACTGCCTTATTCCTTCTGCTTAGGCCCATATCATGTGAAACAACAGTCTGGCTATGTGAATGTTTGTTTGTAATGGCTTAACTTTATTAAAAAGGTTTTTATCTTTTGGTGGAAGGTTCATATCAATTACATTCCTACAAGGAACAGAACCTTTAGTTAACAAGTTCTTAAAAATTTATTGGAGCCATTCTTGAATTCCAAATAACTTAAATAATGATTCAAAACATAAGACTTTTTTGTCATAATGGTCATTGAAACATTATTAAGAAATACTATACAAATGAAATAAATGCTAACCAGCTGGATTGCTGGATGCCTAATATTAATCATAGTCATAGAAAATTAGGGTTGTAAGGGACCTCAGGAGGTCATCAAGTAAAACCTCCTGCTTGAAGCAGGACGATCCCCATCTATACAATCCCAGTCAAGACTTGTCTAGCTGGGTCTTAAAAACTTCCAAGGATAGAGATTCCACAACCTCTCTGGTTAACATGTTCCAGTCCTTTACTACCCTGCTGGTGAGAAGGTTTTTCCTAATGTCCAACCTAAACTTCCCTTGCTACAACTTGAGACCACTGCTCCTTGTTCGGTCATCTGCCACCACTAAGAACAGTTTAGTTCCATTCTTTTTGCTACCACTGTTTAGGTAGCTGAAAGCTGTTACTAAATCCCTTCTCAGTCTTCTCTTTTCCAGACTAAAAAAGCCCAGTTCCCTCAGCCTCTCCTCAGGAGTTATGTGCCCCAGGCCCCTAACCATTTTGTTGCCCTCTGCTGGACTCTCTCCAATTTGTCAACATCCTTTTTGTACTGGGGGGCACAACAGTGGACACAGTACTCCAGATGTGGCCTCACCAGTGTTGAATAGAGGGGTGTAATCACTTCCCTCAATCTGCTGGCAATGCTCCTACTAATGCAGCCCAGTGTGGCATTATCGTTCTTCACAACAAGGACACACTGTTGGCTCATCTTGAACTTACTGTTCACTGTAACCCTCAGGTCCTCCTTTTCTGCAGAGCTGCTGCTTAGCCAGTTGGTTCTTAGCTTGTACTGGTGCACAGAATTGATCCATGCTACATGCCAGATTTTCCACTCTTTGTTATTGAACCTCAGAGATTTCTTTTGGTCTAATTCTCCAATTTATCGAGGTCTCTCTGAATCCTATGCCTTACCCTCCAGCATATCTACTACTCTCCAAAGCTTGGTGTCATCTGCAGACTTGCTGAGGATGCACTCCATTCAATCTTCCAGGTCATTGATGAAGATATTGAACAAAAACGTCCCGAAGACTGACCTCTGGGGCACTCCATTTGATACTGGCTGCCAACTATGCATTGAGCCATTGATTACTACCCTTTTCGAGCCTGACAATCCAACCAGTTTTCTATCTAGAATATAATCTACAGATATTGAAAAAAAATAAAAACTAACCATAAAAATAAAATATTGTGTCTAAAGATACTGATCAATACAGATGAAAAATCTTTTCTAGAAATTAATTTCCCACAATCTAAGTCACAAAAGGCAATGAAATAATCAGGTAAGCCATTTAACACTATATAAATGCTCCACTCTTAAAAATTTTCATCCTCAGTTGCCTTTCTATCTCACACAACTTGTATAACTCAGTCTTCAGCTTTGACTTCAGTTTACCAAGACTTTTTATGGCAGTTTTCCAGATTTCTAATAAATATAAATAAATATTAAATTATTCACATAGATGGCTATCAACACTGACAGGTTGCCTTCATGCAAGGACCTAGACTGAGTTTTTTAAAACAATGCAGGACTGGTAACTACATATTTCAGAGCTGCCCTGTACCTCCACATCATCTGTGCCACTTCCCTACTGTTTCTCCTCCAAATGCTCAATAATATGCACATCCCATTGTAGGTGTGGATGTCCTCAGGCACTAGAGCTCACAATTTTTTACCCTAGCAAATACCCATACAGTGTTCATATATCTTGTTTCTTCACTTTATGCCTGTTCTATATAGAAATGGCATGCATTAGCTTGAGAGGGAGTTTCTGCAGTCTGTTCCAAAGCATACGCTTTGCCTAACAGCCATTCTTTAAAAACTACCCATTTTCCACTTCTTTGTTCTTTTGCTTCCTGAACAGTTTTATTTTACTTTTTATTTTCTTCTTTTACTCCCCCCCACTCCACCCCACCTTTTTTTTTTTTTGGTTCTAGTCTGTCATTCTTATAGTACTACAGCATCATTATGGTAGATGATCTCCCCAGTGGCGGGCAGGGCCCATTTTACCAGAGCCCAAAGGACTTCAGTGGCTTTTTTTAGAATGTTTCCATTTTGTATATCTGTAAGGTGGTCACTCAAAATCCCCATGCCCTCCTTCAGTAAACCTAATGCCATCATAAATACTTTGGGAGTGGATGCTGAAATAGTTCTCCAGTTGTTTGCCTGGGATTCCAGAGTCTTCCTCCAGGTTATATAGCCACTGCTTTGGAAACATTTATACGGACAATGTAATGTTTACACCTCTGAGGAACAGGTTTATGCCAGGACAAAGGGTACAACCATAACTCCCCGGAGAGAGAGAAAAGGGTACAATTTTATTGCAACTCCATTGCCATGCTCCATGCATGCACTCCTCAGTATCAGTATGACTGCGCTCTGCTGAGCCTTGGCAAGAGCAGAGAGAGAGCTATCAATTGGATTGTTTTAAGGAAAACACCCTGAGAAACTCCAGTTAGTGGTAAGTAACTTCCCTTTCCTTCCCTGCTTCTCCATATCTCCCTCAACTTCCCCTGCCCTATTTCATGCCCTCCCTAACAAATGCAGAAGTACTTTAAAGTACTTCAAAGTGCTGTTATTTCCTCAGTAACTTTTTGTATTTTCAGTCAAAAATAAATTTTAAAATTATGATGATGGAGTAAGACATCTTCCAAAATGTCATACTTAAGGCTACTATCAGAAGTGGAGGAGAAACAATGAAGATGCTGTGGGTCTTATTCTTGATTTTGCTGGAGGTTTAACTAAATTAAATTAAGAAGTAATTTTTGCCAGACTTGTCCGTGCATGCTTTGTATATCTTGGTAAGAAGTACTATGATGTTGTAATTGGGGAGACTATTATGGGACTGTCTTGTGTCTGTGCCCAATTATGTTCCATTTGTAAGATTTTATACTACAACCATGACATTTGATATTTTGATATGAAGTGCCTTTTTCTCTCTCTAGCACTTTTGGCCTTGGATTGTTAGTGGCTCTTATCTTGTTTTCTCACAACCCTTGCATGCTTTTATAAAATCACTGTTAAGTACTTCACTTTTATTCCGTTTGAGAATTTAAATAGCTAAGAATGGAACTTGGATGTTGCTAATACAGAAAGTTTCCTTACACAACCCCCCCAAAAAACCCCAAAACACCCTTTTCAGAATTAAATATCTTTTCCTTCCCTGCTTTATCAAGGCTAATATTGATTTTTTAATTAAATGCTTGAGTAACAAAACAAAGGAGTGGTCCAGATTCTGAACAATCTAGGACAGCTTTTAGGTGCCCAGCTTGGGAAAGCTTCAAAATAATCTAACTCTAAGAGGGTGGGGTGGAGCCAGTATAGTAGGGTTGAGTGACAAGGGCAATTTTTATGTTTGTGTATAGGGATGTTTTAACTTTTTTGCTAACTACCAAATAAAGAGCAGGCACTGAAATTTGAACACCCTTCATAATTTTTTCATATTACTGTAATTAATAAGCCATTACTGGTCACTTTTGGAAATCTTGCCTAATTTAGTTTGCTGATATCTTTCTCCAGCTAAACAGTGAGAGGTGGTATGAAATACCTTTTTAAACGCTATTGCTTACAAAAGGATTTGAAGAGGCCAACACCTAGATGCCCCAGGGAGAAAAAGTATTGATTTTTTTCAGTTCTTGTCCTCTTAAAAATTATCAACAACCTGATGGACTGAGAAGTAGGATATTTCTGCATTAAAATATTATGAACACCATGAAAGTGCTTGACTAAGACTCAGGAGGTTTCAGTTCAGTTTCAAGCTCTATCACAGATTTCATGTGATGCTAGAAAAATCACAATCTCTCTGTATTTCAATTCTTTCACTATAAAATGGGAAGACTAGTTCATTGCTTCCATGCTGTCAGCCTTAACTATTTGGATTATAAATTCATCCAGGTAGGTACTACCTCTTACTTGTACACCACCTTGATTTTAGTGATTAGTGATTATTAATGTAATACAAATATTAGTGATAATATATAATAATATACACCAGCAGGAATGACTTTTTCAATTAAGGAAATATCAGCTGTCTTTGAGATACTGTTTTAAATACCAAAATCCAACAGTACTGTGTACTTTGAAAATCTGGAAGGTAGGGGAGGGGGTTGCTTTTTCAGAGTAGGGCAAGGTGGGGACAGTAAACGGAGAAGCAGGGTTTTTAGCTTTGCTTTTTTTCCCCTTCAGTTATCAGAGATGGCATAGAAAGAATGACTTACGTGGTAGGAAGAAGACTTACCAAACGGGATAAAATACGGCCCAGGAGAAGAAACTCAGGGTGAAGTTATACATTATGCTTAGGCCATAATAAGGGCACTTAAAATGTGCACATCTGTACATTAAAGCTTGTTAACTTGTGTGGCGGGTGCAGAGATCCCACCTCAGGAACACAGCTGGGTATTCGTATCCCTCCGCTGTTTCCACCACGTGAGGCGGGCCAGTAGGGGGCGCTTCTGCGTTGAGCCGCCCACCTCCCTGC